GGCTGATTACTCGTAATTTACGGTTTAGCACAAGTGAGGAACCTCTGTGGAAGGAAGCCAATTGTTATAGCCTGGGGTGTGCTTCGCGTGCTGTGAACTGTGATCCTTCTGCCTTGAGCACACCAAGGTTGCATGAGATACCAACCACGTTATCAGCTATCTTTCTCTAGAGACAACCACCGCAGATTCTTGGAGGTCACTTTAGCTTTCCTAAACTTCACCATTATTTCTCAACCGTGGCTACTTGAAGATGTGTGGATTTCAATTCTCACACTTCCACAACCCCAATCTTTAAGTGGCCAAGGTTGAGAAGGTTGAGAAAATTCCCAGTCGCTTGCTGATCCAGGAATTGTGTTGGGCCATATTGGGAACATGTCCGGTTGGGGAGGCCCCGTGGTTGCCCCAGACCTGACCAACCGTGCCCTTCCTTGGCAGGGCAGAGTGCCTTCAGCGCGGCGTCTCTCCGTCCCAGGCCCAGGGGCTGGGCTCCAACCTGGTGACTGAGGTGAGGGTTTACAACTGGTTCGCCAACCGCCGTAAAGAGGAAGCCTTCAGGCACAAGCTTGCCATGGACAGCTACAATGGCTCCCAGCCCAGCTCCGTGCCCACCTTGGGCTCTCATGGCTCCTCCTCTCTCCAGCCAGCAACTCCTCTGTCCCCAGGCAAAGTCCACGGTGAGTGCCAGGTTGGGGGGGGGGCAGGGCAGAGGGAGACGTTCAGGGTCCAGCACATATGAAGAACATAGGAAGAACGGTTGCTGGAATTGGTTAAGTCTAATTTAATAAAAAGAAAGACTAGAGCAGTGGTGGCGAACCTATGGCACGGGTGCCAGAGGTGGCACTCAGAGCCCTCTCTGTGGGCACGGGTGCCATCGCCCCAGTCCTAGGCCTTCAGCTGGGTTTTATAAAACCTTTTCACTTTAGGCCTCCGCCACTGTGTACACACAAAAAAAAGGTTCAATCAATCAGTCAATTTCAACTTCTCACGGGAAAAAAAAAGATCTTGCAAAGTTGGAATTGATTGATTGAACTTTTTAGTCCCACCCAGTCTGCCGTTACCACAGCAGCCACGCCCACCCAATGGGTCACACCCAGCCAGTGGGCCACACCCAGCCAATGGGCCACACCCACCTGGCACCCGACGATGCATAAGTGGGTTTTGGGTTGCAGTTTGGGCACTCGGTCTCTAAAAGGTTCGCCATCACTGGACTAGGGGGTGACATGATAGCAGCATTCCAGTATTTGAGGGGCTGCCCCAAAGAGGAAGGGGGGTCCACCTGTTCTCCAAAGCCCCTGAACGCAGGACAAGAAGCAATGGATGGAAACTTAATCAAGGAGAGAATCAACCTAGAACTAAGGAGAAACTTCCTGACAGTTAATACAATTAATCAGTGGAACAACCTGCCTCCAGAAGTTGTGAATTCTCCAACACTGGAAGTCTGTGGCCTGCTACCGGTCCGCAGGCAGTGGGCAAGAGAGCAAAGCTCAATTTGTGCAGGCACGGGATTAGGTTACGCACGTGAAACCATCCCCTCCCCCCGCCGCCATCGCGGCCAGTCCGTGGAGCCAGAAAAGTTGTGGCCCGCTGCCCTAAGGGGACTGGCATACTTCCCATATAAAAAATAAAACATATTGAGCACGCCAGTGATTAGTTTCCAAATACCGTTTGCCCCTGGCTGAGCAAGAAGACACAGGTCAGCCAGCATGCCAAAGAGCTATCCTGGGGGCAAAAGCATGTGGCAGGAAACCCCCTCCCCAGTTTGCCTTCTGGGGCACAGGGGTTTTGTCCCTGGCCATGCTCACCAAGGCATCCGTTCGATGTTGCGGTTGTCGTTTCAGAACCTTCTCCTCTCCAGCAGCAGCAGCAGCAGCAACAAGGTCTCTCCTTCTCGGACGCGGGCATGAGGTACGGCCAGCAGCCAGTCAGCGAGGCCAGTTCCTCCAACAACAGCCAGCACAATTCCATCGCCACCACCCAGGCCATCCTGCACCAAGCCAGCTCCCCCAGCCTCTGCTCCAGCTCAGGACCAGACACCAAGCTGGTGAGTGAAAGGTGCCCGAGACCCTGCTGGGGCCAGAAGGGAGACCCTCTGGCTGGATTCTCAGAGCCGGCCAGCGGGAGAGAGGCTGCCCCCC